ATAAAAAAAAAAAAAATCAAACTCAGGTTTGGTGCAGTTCAAATGCATATGTGAATGCTAAGCGGACCAAAAGCAAGAAGCGAACTTGTAGCGCAGGGCATTCTGGGTAAATACAATCAAAACAAACACTCAAATCTGAACCTAGTGGGAGAAACGACTTGTGCCCTTTTACCAAAGACCAGAGAAATTCTGCAATCGCTAAAATCTGACGCTACTCCATTTTTGTTTGCATTTCATTAAGAAGGAAGTGAAACGGTGGTCTTTGAGGGCCATTACAAAACTAAATAGTATTTGAGGGAGTACTACTATGAATATCCTGTCAACTGGTCTTTAGAGGTTATGCTAGCTATCAATTCACTCCACCGTCATAGACAGTATCAAGAAATGTGAATTGCAGCAATTTTCTGAAGCAAAAATGAAAGAAAACTTCCACCAAATGGCAGATGATTTTGATGCAAGTGGAGGACGGAGGGGAAATCGGCTTCAGGAGCCGAAAGACAAAAAACACAGGGTTTCATATGACTTCAGCTGGAACAGGGATTAAGAGAAATAAAAAATGTTACACAATGCAATTTTGGAAGGACTTTCCGAAGACAGTGGAGTCAGTTGTTCTGTTCTGCAGGACTTTTCCTTCATCGGCCTGCTGAGAGCCGAGTGAAGCTACTTGGCTTTTGCTTTACAGAGATGCACGTCTGCTTTCTGCATTTGCAGATGGAAAGAGCAGAGTGCTGGCACACCTGCGTGGCACGCGGAGGAAGAAATGCCACCACGCCAAATACCACGAGAGTCTTCCATGAAAATAATTTAAAAAAAAATAATAATAATTCTCGGGTTACTTTTGCAGCTTAAACTGAGGCTAATTTTGTGCTTGGTCGGGAAATGGCACTGCGAGCGCACAGATGCACGCGGGCTTCCACATTCGACAAATCCTCAGTCTCACTCTGCAGATTAAGCCCAGATGGGAACAATGAGATGAGTTTGAAGGCTCTCGCTGTGTAACTGAAAACACTCGGGCTTGTTAACACACTCCAAAAACTTGCTTCATCCATCACAGGCCAGATGTTCCACAGAGCCTTTTTCCCTTTACTCCTCAAGAGGGACCAATCCCTCTCAAAATTAATTCACTTCCCACTCCACTTGCCTTCACAACAAAGCCACTCATAAAAACTAATTGGATAGTTTGCGGTCTTTATGATGGGCCGATCGAGCCACGGAGGACAAGAGATGTTAGCGCTGACGGACTCTCTCTCTCTCACGGGACCATTTCAGCGTCGTGACCCCACTTAATCCTGCCATTAGATCTCAAAGCTTCCCGGATCCTGCAGAAATTCGCCGCGCTCAGCCGCATTAGGACGCAGAGAGGGGTCGTATCCTTGAATAAACATCAGAATCTGTTGCCTTTGTGGCTAATTTCCTTTCGAATTCCACCAGAGTTATTAGTGAAGAAGCATGTGGTGAAGCGAGTGTGGCAGCCATATGCTGCAATCAGGGCTGAATTATGTCCATCACATGTGGAAAGACATTCACGATGTAATTCGCCAGTTATTCTGCAAAGCCGTATAATTCGAAGCACGTTTCATCTGAAAAACGAATGCTAACCTACGTCGTTGTGCGAAAGCATCGCGACTGCTTCACTCTTCACATTTCTGTCACATTGCAACAAAGCGCTGTTAAGCCCCCAAATTATCAGAATTAGGTTTTGCATTTAACCAAATAGTTTCTTTCAGGCATTTCTCACAAGATAGTAAAACAATGGAGCTGTTTAAGGGGGGGAGAAACTGATTCACTTACATTACCACAGAAGAAAGAGCAAGTTGCAATTATTTACATCCTTGTTTTTAATCTTTCATCTGGCCTTCACAGTGATTAATCCACTCTTATAACTGCTGACCAGTATTCCACTGGTGCCATCACGATCTTTGGAGATGATTTTCAAGCCTTTACATTTGAGAGATATCCCTCCCATCATCCTAATCTTTAGCTTCCTCCACAAATTCTCCATCAGATTTGAGTCGGAATCCTGATGGGACCATTTCAGATTATTAAATAAAATATCACTTGCATTTAGAAGATGCATGTTAAAAGCTCTGTCATGTTTTGTGAAGTATCTGGATGATCCAGTGAAGATCAGTGACAACCAGGGAGCTTCTACACTGAGGTCCAGGTGGGTTAATCTGAGGAATGTGGAACAGCTGTGAGAGGAAACTGAGCCAAGGAGGCTAATTGCCACAGAAAACACAAAGGAGAACAAACAAGTGTAACAACAGAGGATAAACTAAGAAGAGAAACTAAACACAAAGGAATAAACTGAGATATGACACAACCAAAGAGAAGTACAACAAGAAATTGTAATCATTGGTCACTGAAGCATGCGTTATAACATTATTGAGGTTCAACGTTAACATTTTGAAACCAATCAATGTAAATTGATAGCTTTCAAGTTGAATCAAAAAGAAAAAAATACAACTGGGATGTCGTGAAGGTCAAATTTGTCAGCTCAAAAGTACGTACGAGCCAAAAAAACATCATATTTAAAAACGAAAATTATGAAAAATGTGATTTTTATTAACATACGCGACAATAAACTAAGCATGAATTATATTAATTAAACAAATCAGTTTTGGGGGTTTTTTTTGTAGGAACGGGATCGTATATCCAAAACTTCTAATGTTTTAACACATTTTTCCTGTTAAATGAAAGGCATCCAGTTTGCTTATTATTTTCGGCTCGATCGAAGAAAGCTGAAAAAATATTTTGTCTGTTCCCAGCAACAAAAACCGGACCAAGGTCAGTCTTCATTTGCAAACACGTGCTGTATTCGACCAAATTCTAATGCAGGTTTGGATGAACTAAGGTGTACTTTAGAGTCCAAGTCAATGAGCAGACCAAGAAAAGAAAAGGAAACCAGAAAGCTTGGAAAAGAAAGATGATCACTTTCTTTTGCATCTAACATTTTGGTAAGTAGATTTTGATTTAAATGTTGTAGTTTTGTCCTAATTTATTCTTGAATTGTTGTAGGGGACGGCTAACAATCAGTCCAGTGGCTGGAAATGAATCTGAATTAAACCGAGGACAGAGGTAATAAAAACTAAAAATCATGGACTCAATTTTTCTGCTGCAGCTACATTTTAAATAAAGGTTTCAGCCCCTTTACATAAGCAAGAGAAGAGAACAGCTTATTATGGCAACAACAAAAGAAAGTCTGTTCCATATAGGGATGAAGAAACGGGCAATCTGGCCCCCATACCAACAAACGCAAACTTTCAGGAGCCGCACTTGGACGCAATCTCATTCTCCTGCCATTCTGTGATGCAGCAACTGCAGACGGATGAAGGGAGAAGGCCACTGAAGAGCAGAGATGTTCACTTGCTGACCCCTTGACCTCCACATCCCACCCCGTCCCGAGGCGGCGCGCTGCTGCGTGCTGACTCATGCTGCACGCTCACGCCTCGCACAGATGGGAGCAGCAGTCATCTGCTGACCACTTGAGGATAAAAGCTACCGAGTCATTTTCTAGGAAAATATTCAGGAGGACTATAGTTGTTGTGTGCGGACATCAGCAGGAGAGCAGCCTTACCTCAGAGACTCTGAAATGAATACATGATGATATTTTAGAAGGTATATTCATCAGTTATATAAAAAAAAAATCATTCACTGTCTCAATATGACGTGACGAATGTTAATAGATAATACGTCTGGTAGAATATTAAATACGCAAGTTATTGACAGAACTCTGATTGAGCTTGAGTTTGACACTTTCAGTGTTTACCGTCAGGATTCAAGCATGACATGACACAGAACCGCGTTTCTCTCAGCCAGTCTTCAAAACGGTAAAGAGTATAGAAGATGTCATTCAAGTAGAGAGCAATTTGTTGATCCTTCTAGGTCATAAAATGTCAGCAGGACAAGTAGCTTCTTGTCAAACTTGTGTGTACGGTTAGGAACAAGAGGCAATGCGACAAACAAAGCTGGATGAGGAACAGTTTGAGAAAGAGACAAGAGAAGACCCACCACTGGAGCGATACAAGAGACAGAGAGGAGCTTATGCTCCGATCTTGTGAAATAGAAGGCTAAGTGTTGTCGTATTGCCAAAAAAGGGCTGAACAAAGTAAGACAGAATCATTATCAATAATTATGGTTTTTAAAACAAGCAAACAAATTAGATCCATGTCTGTCCATTGAGTCGATTTCTAAATATCGGCATCGGGTCCAGCCCAATCAGTTGACTTCAACAGCTTTCACACACAAAGATCTTAATTTATGTTAATTCTTTATTGCTGATTATTTTTTCTTGACTGTTCCTAGAGTCCGCACTGACTTTGGTTGAAAAAAAAAAAGAAGAAGAAAAGAAAGAAAGCTTTTCATTTCACAGATCATCGGCTTGGAATCTGCTTCAGGATGAACTTCACTTGAAAGAGCTGCCCTCATTTTATTTCTTCAAGGGTTTATAAATGTTTGAGCAGATCAAAGCCTATAAGCCACAGTTTAAACTGGCTTGAGGAGAGCGGTTTTTATTTAATGTTATTGATATTGTACCGTTTTTTTGTATCCACCGGTTTTAACTACATTGTTGTAATGAATTTAAACTTTTATATGTTGGTTTCTGGTGATTTTCCCACATTTCTGTGCATTTGCTAAAAATGCAGCCCACATCTGACTTATCTTTCCAGAATGCCAGCAGTGTCAGACTTTCAGCTTCAGCTGAGGATGTTGTGGAAAACATGATATTTTAGGATGCACATCGACTCAAAAGGGGGAAAAGTTAATCACCAACTACTGTATAATCCTTAATATTTATATATTAGATAATGTTTTTGTTTTTTTTAAACTGTGACAAAAAGCACCTGATTCTGTTTTGGGGATAGAGTTAAAGCAGCAGGTGCCCCTCGCTTTACTTCTCCATGATTTCAATAAATCCTGTCAAACTGAAATGACGCGCCTCTTTCTCCAGTGTCGCAGGCATAAACGCGGAGGGGGGGAAACGCTGCGGGGTTTTTTACCTTGGCGCACACAGCCAGGAGAAGCAGTCCAGCCGTCCACGAGCCGCTCCAACTCTTCATCCCGGACGCAAACAGACTCAAAGTAATTTCAAGCTGTTGAGTGACGCCTCTGAATGTCCCGGCTCTCCTGTTCAGAACCAGAAAGCGGTCCGCGCTGCTCTCCGCGCTGCGCTCCGGCTCCGGTTCCCGAGCGGAGGAGGAAGAAGGCGAAAGTCAGCCGAGACAGGACGGAGACGACATGACACTCCGCGGACGCTTCCAGATATTTGGTTCCCCTCAACAGCAAACACGTTGCTGCTAAATTTATGTTTGCATGCCAGGCGTGCGTCAGAAAGAGGGGCTCACCCACCTTACATTCTTAAAGAAACATGCTCCGTTACGCGCCTGACGTGCTGCCCGAACTTGAAGGGGATGCTTTTTTCTTCTTTTTTTTTCTTTCTTTTCACCTAATGTGTTTAGGCTGCCAGTCATGTTAATGGATGTCCTCGATGGCTGGCATCACAAAGGACTCTATTCTACCCACTTGTCTGTCTGTGCCCAGGACTGTTTGTTTTTGTTGGAGCTCAGAAAGGCCAGACTAGTCACAACAGCTCACAGGAAGCAGCGAAGGCATTCAGAAGAGCTCCAAACATATACGAATGGAAGATATACACAGTGCTGAGGGGGGGAAAAAACAAAAAAACCTTTGGACCTTTCCACTTTTTGACACATTTCATCCACGAACTTCAAACACAAAGTGCATTATTGTAAAGAGGAAGGAAAATGATGTGTGGTTTTGATTTTATTTATTTTTTTCTTACAAATAAAAATCATAAAACAGAGGGCTGTTCATTTGGATTCAGAATACTTTGGAGAAAGATCTGTCAAACTGCACATCAAAGTCTCTGAAGTCCATCTCTACAATCTTTGCATATGTAGATACTGAAAGTTAACCAGATCTTCTCAGTCTGCTGACGTCATCACAAATTCTCCGTTGGATAAAGGTTTGGGCTTTGACTAGGCTATTCTAACACAGGCATCTCCATTCCGGCCTTAACTATCTTTTTGCAGCATCTACCAGATTTTCTTCCATAACTGTCTTGTATTTAAGTCCATCCATCTTGGAAAGTGCAACAACGGACGAAAATTTTAAAACCCTCATAAATTATTTCAATTTTCTTTTCATTTTTTTTTAGCAGTTCTCAGAGAAAATCCTTTAAAGTTTGTCTTTAAGTGGACCACACTTGCGCTGAACTTTTCTAGTCATATTGAACACTCAAAGCTCTTTTTACCCAATCACACTCACAAATACTCGTATACCAATACACAAATCATAAGACAACGTGAGGTTCATCACCTGCCCCACGCAGGAGGCAGCAGGAATTAAACGCATCGCTTCCGTGTCATAAAAATGAAACGACAAAAGGTCATTTTCCTGCACCTGCTGCAACACACAAACAAAAAGTTTCCAGTTTTTCAGCTGCAACCAAACAAGATTAGGTATGAAAGCACGAGTTGCTTTGGTCTTTGTAGTTCTGCCGTTGGCACCGCCGGCCATTTAAGGTCAGGAAGAGTATTATCTGAATCGAGCTGCTTGTGAACTGAGATCAACTGAAAGGAATGAAGCATTCCCGCTCTTGACCCTTGCAGTGCCCTAATGGAAAAGTTTTTAATTTCTCTACACATGGTTTGGATGTAGCAATGTAGTTTGAATAGAGGTCCAAATTGATTTTAGTACAGAAAAAATGAACTTACTTTGCCCTGCTTCATTTTTAAATTATTGTAAAATGGCCTCAAGATGGTCTACTTCCTCTTTCGGGGATTTTTTATTTTTATTTTTTTCATATCGTTTCGTAAGTAGCGGCTGAAGCCGGCATCTCTACGTTCTGTTGATCCTCTGTTCGGCTAAATGACGTGATGTTCTTTGAAGCTTTGCCCACAGTGGTAATGCATCAAGATTGGCCTTGTCAGCACTGAAATTATCCAGGGCCACTGTAATAACAATGTATCTAAAAATGCTCTCTGCCTTGCTGCCTACTAAGAGACCAAAAAAAAAAAAAAAGGTATGTATGGTATGAGTTACCTGACATGGGGCTTTGATTCTGCTGCTTTTATAAGAAACCACAAAAACGCAACTCATGTGTAGGAAGGAGATCAATTTGGGGTTTAAAAGATTTATTTGTGCTGTTATTTGTTTAGTGTGGATGATTGTGCAACATGCAACTTCAAAATCATAACTAAAGACTAAAATTAATGCACACATGAAAGTAGTGCTTATCCCAAAACTTACGTTTTGCTTGACTTGAATTTTTAGCTCTTCTCATGGACAAGCAAAGTGTCGGTGAGACAAGGATCGATCTGCCTGGTTACAGTGACAAAAACACAGAGTCTTTCAAACTGTAGAACGATCAAGCATGTCATGGCAGCATCATGCCGGGTGCCGTTTAGTTCTTTCATTGCACAGAGCTAATAGGATATTAAAGAAAGAGCCGACACAGTTTGGGGCTCCAATAAACGTACATCACATAAAGCGAATGTTATGCTTCTGAAAAAGCCCTGAAAATGTTTAAAAGCAGCTAAAACTGTCACGATGTGCGAGTTTGAGGATGGACCAAAATGCAGGCAGGAGCTGTAGAAAGTTTTAATGAAGAATGAAAATAAATAAATAAAAAAAAAAAACAGAGGGAGCACAGGGAGCCAGAGCAGAGCAAAAACCATAAATCCAAGGAATGAGTCATCAAGGGACATGGGGAAGAACAGAAAGCACCAGTAGGAAGAGAGGCGTTTAAATACTGTGAGCGTGAATAATGGAACAAAAGACCTGGACTGATGAGCTCACGGGCTGCAGGTGTGAGGGGCGAGAGAGTGAGAAAGAGAGGCAGAGGGGGCGAGGGAATAAATCTAACACTGAAGAATCACTAGACCTGAGAAACAAAATTAAACTAGAGCAACAAAAAAATAACTAGACACAAGAAAAAAAACATAATGAACTAGAACTGAATTAATGCAAAACAGAAACAAGATTGATCTCATAAAAAAGAAACTAAAGAATAACGACTCCAGAATCACACCTTTAACAATCAATCCAAGTTAGCCCTACTGTTTCTGATTGGAAGAGTGAAGGTCAAATATCCAGACACGTCTGGATTTTTAAATGGGGGCAGTATTATTTATTTTCCAGACAAACTTTATACCACAGCCACGTAACCATCTGATCGTCATGTCATTGTAAAAATGTTGCATATATCGCACGTGACAGAAGAGAAATTTGAAGTTGGCCTCTGTGACTTTAAGAAGCTCCAACTCTTTCTGAAACTCCGTCTTCAGCTCATCACCACAACTATGTTCCTCCGTTATGCCATTTACAAGATTCTTAGGAGCGATGGACTAAGAAGTAGTTTGTGTGAGAAGACGGGCTGTTTCTCCAGGTCTTTGCTAATTGCTGCTGCCACTAGTCTGGGGGAGCCGAGTGGTGAAGATGAGGTGGCGGACACTCAAAATGTACGTTTAAAAAAAAAAAGAAGAAGAAAAGCAACATAGGTATGTTTTTGATGACGAAATAACATTAAAACATGATATGGATCTCAAAAAAGTTGATTTTACATAACAGCCAGCCTTTAAAGCCTCCCTGCTCACATTTGTCATCGGGTGAAGTTTTGAAACGAGGAGGAACGACCGCTGGAAGTTCCCCGGTGAACTTTGACCGCCCTGCAGCACCCTGAGAACAGCAGCGACACCCCTCAGAGTCAGAGCATGCGGCGTGTAATCCCCTCAAGACATGAATAGTTTACATTCAGTGCGACTGGCAGTGCAATGGCTAAGCTATGTCCTCATGTTACAAATGTTACTCTTACTGATGGATGTACTCTGTAGGATCGCTTGTTCAAAGATCCCACCTGCAGACTTGCAAAATCAATCCCCACCCCCGTCCCTAAGATGTATTTTTAGACTTTACAAGCCTAAATGGCATCTGTCGTGTCTTTACTCAAGACGTCTTACAGGATTTTTGTGTTCCGGTGCGACAAATAAGAGGTTGAAGCGTCGGGTAATGACAGCATTTAAGCCGAGATCTTTTGTTTGACTGCTTTGATGGGCTGAAGGGTCTTTGGCTCTCTTTCCTTTACATCTCCCAGTCCTTTTTTTTAGAAGCAGAATACTTTGGGAACATAAAGATTTCTGTTACTGTGAGAAGAAGTAGGACATGAACAAATTCACGATCACTACTCTTACGTACCACTACGTCCACTGTGAGTAACTTTCCTGAATGGTGTTTGTGCTGAAGTGAGACCTCTTGTTTTCTTCACAAGCTTTGTTGCTCTAACGTTATTGCTGAGCCCGGTTGGAGGGTAAGAGAACATTCAATAAACAGTAGATATCATCACTGGAGATACTTTATGCTGCAACATGGATAGATATTACTGTAAGTTTTCATTTCATAGTGGATAAAACGCATTTGCAAAAGTGTCTCTTCTGCCTACATTTTTATTAGTCGTGATGCCAGAAAGTGCACTGCATAAAGACGCCGTTTTAAAATACTAAATTAATGTTAGGATCTCCTTACCAAATACTTTTTCTAATCTTGGATGGCTGCTTTTTACTTTTACATGAGCAGAAATACACTGAAGGGGTACTACTCTTACTCGAGTATAATTGGTATTCGAGCTACCTCTGGGTAAATATTAGTTTTTTTATTCTAAAGTTATTTTCTGTCTGCTGAGCCTGTTGTACCATTTGGAAGTCAAAGTGAATATTCAATAAACAGTAGGCATTCTTGAATTTCCCACTAAGAGTGGCACCTGGTGAGAACTTGTGTTTCTTCTTTAAGTGTGTTCAGATAACGAATCGCAGTCCTGGGTTGTCTGAGCTTCTATTAACTTTCTGTCCTCTCACAGGGATGCACACTGACACTCACTGGATATTTTTCTATCATCTGAAGCCCTAAATGTTTTGTTGTTTTTCTTCCTCTGTAAAAGAGTTTCGTTTCATTTTGTGCGTTTGAAGACGTCTGCCAATTTCACAAAAACAGAAATGCAAAACCAAAGTTCAGCACGCCAGTGCCACTTCCTGCCCGTCGGCTCGCATGTAGGAGCACACAACCAGGCAAGCCTGGGGCCGTGGTGTGTACAGTACATGTGCTGGTTTCCTCTGGCTAAACACACTTGGAGCAGGCCTGCGCCCCCACGCATGAGTAACCTGGCTGTGTGGCTTAAGCTGACTCCAAACACTGCTGTTTG